AAACTGAGAGTGTTCCTTGTGTCTCCCATACCATACATATGCGTGCCATCCCATCTTTAAGTCGTGTCCTTCTAATTTCAGAAGTCTTTGATTTTCTAGAGTTATTCACTAACACTAATATTTGATTTTCTGCAAACTGATATAGGGAGAAGAGAGGTGTTAACGAGCCTGGAATCTTTGACTCCAAAAGGTGGTGGGGGGACTTCAAATAGAGGGGTTAGAGAGGTTTTTTTTCTGTATATGTAGTCTGGTTTTTTTCTTTCTGTTTTTGTCTTTTTCTTATCCTTTTCCTCTTTTTTTAGTGTTTTATGGTTTTTTGTATGTCAGAAATTATCAATCAATAATAAAAAAAATTCCTCCAGGTTTAGCTTGAACCTGTCAACATACCCGTATTTTCACCTCATATCAGGGAACAGATGATTGCAGAGTGGATTTGATTTACATTGCGAATTAAATCAAGATTGAAATTTTAAAAATCAGATTTTTTGATGATTTGAATAATTTTTTAATTTACATTATTTTATTTTTTTAAAAAAAAACATTGATTTTTATGCACCCTGGATGAATGCTACAGAACAGCTGAGAGCGGTGCCATTGTCAACATCACCATGTAAGCAGTCCCAGAAAACACAGAGCCCATCAAAATGACAAACTTATTTATATACTGCCCCATTAATGCAAACATTGCTCTGGGCAGTTTACAGATTAAAACTTAAAAATCCCACAGACCCCATATTAATGAATTATTCATTCATTATGTTCCTATGCCATCTTTTTCCCCAAAAGGACCCAAGGCGGCTTAGATCACTAAAACAGTATTTAAAAGCTAAAACAGTAAGTATACAAATATTAAAAAAGAATTAGACAAGTACTATATAAAAATGGTAACAAAGATCAATATTAAAACACATTTAAAACAACAGAACATAACAGTCCATTTAAAACCCCTCTCAGACCACCAGTTATTAATGAAAAGCTTGCCTAAAGAGAAAGGTCTTTGCCTGCCTGCAGAAGGAACAGCAAAGATGGGGCCAGCCTAGCTTCCCGTGGGAGGGAATTCCAGAGTCTGAGAGCAGTGACAGAGAAGGCCCTCTCCCATGTCCCCACCAAGCACACCTGTGAGGGTGGTGGGACCAAGAGAAAGGCCTCCCCTGATTATCTTAATGCCCCGGCACAATCCTAGAGGGAGATGCGGTCTTTTAAATTGCTTGGACCCAAGCCATTTAAGGCTTTGTAGGTTAAAACCAGTGCTTTGAATTGTGCCTGGAAGTAGATGGACAGCCAGTGGAGCTGTTGTAACAGGGGTGTTACATGTTTCCTGTAACCAGCCCCAGTTGACAATCTGGCTGCAAAATTTTGGACCCTTTGCAGTTTCAGAATACTTTCCAAAGGGAGCCCCGCATAGAGTGTGTTACAGTAATCCAACTGAGATGTAACTGGGGCATTTGTCATTGTGGCCAGATCAGACATCTCAAGGAACGGGCGCAGCTGGTGCACTAGTTTTAACTGTGCAAAGACACTCCTGGCCACCGCTGAAACCTGGGCATCCAGGCTCAGAGATGAATCCAGGAGCACCTCCAAGTGATGTGTCTGTGTTTTCAAAGGGAGTGTAACTCCATCCAATACAGGCTGTGACCCTGTTCCTTGATCTGGTTTTCAACTGACCAGGAGCATCTCTGTCTTGTTTGGATTAAGTTTCAGTTCATTCACCCTCATGCAGTCCATTACTGATGCCACACACTGATTTATAACCTCTCTCAGTGGTTTAATGTAGATATTAAACAGCATAGATGACAAAACAGATCCCTGAGGGACATCACAGACCAGAGGCCAAGATGTCGAACAGGAGTCCCACAGCAATACCTGCTGGGCTCTCTCCTCCAGGAAGGACCGGATCCACTGAAAAACAGTGCCTCCAAGTCCCATACTAGAGAGACATCCCAGAAGGATGCCATGGTTGATGGTATTGAAAGCCACTGAGAGGTCCAGCAGAACCAACAAGGATGTACTCCTATTGTCCAGTTCCAAGGCGACCAAAGCAGTCTCTGTCCCATATCCAGGCTTGAAGCCAGACTGAAATGGATCTAGATAATCTGTCTCCTCCAGGAATCCCTGGAGCTCAGAACCTTGGCCAGGAATGGGATATTAGAAACTGGCCGATTATTATCCAGTACTGTGGGGTCCAAGGAAGTTTTTTTTTCCAGTAATGGTCTTTAGTAACAATATGGCAAGGACAAGCAGATTCAAGAACAGCTTCTACCCAAGTGCAGTATTGAGTTTAAATGCGGGGTCATAAGTTTTTGGTGGAATTTCAATTGCTGGGAGAAATGGGGTATATATATCTGTATGGTGAGTGTTGTGTATATTTTAACTTTTTTTTGTAGTGGTGTTGTCCAGTTCTACCTTGGGGAAGAGCACCTCATTTCGTTGCACCCACTTGTGAGTGCAATGACAAATAAATTTCTTATGTCTTATGTCTTAAAAACAAAAAACACATACAAGAGATGAAAGAGGGAGCAAGAAAAGAAAAAAACTTATACTAACAGCATCCAAGAGTTGTTGAAGATAGCTTTGAATGGTTCTACTTTCAGCAATTTATTGAACATAAGTGGGCAAGGAGCCATTCTGTATCTCTATTGGTAACTTATTACAGAGCCTGGGGGCCACCACCAAGAAAGCCCTATTCCTTGTCTTTGCCTTCCTGGCATTGTTTAATAATGATGTTAATGTTTTATATTCTTAGTTTCATTTTGCTTTTGTGGAGAGGTAACTTAAAATCATTGGATCTCTGAATCTAAATAATGAATCTTACATGTATGCTTTTATTATCTGGAGCAAACATATTTTCTTTTACATTTTAGCCTTTAAGCATCAACCGCCTCTGTTACTGCTCACTGAAGTGGCAAAACAGTTGAATAGTTCAATTAAAAGTTAATTTAAATTGTCAGAACTCCATGTTGTAGTGATTTTAGGTGGCCATGTAATCATTTTCATGCATCTTTAGCGATGTACCCTCTAATTTTCAGCCCTGCTGGGCGCGGCTCCACCTTTCTCTCTTGTGACTTTACCCACTGCGCGCAGAGTTCCAAAGGGGCTGAAAATGATCACTCTGCAGAGGAGGAGGAAAGCTGTGCAGAGGGAGGTGGAGTTGCACATGCGTAGCTGTGCATCTTAGAGGGAACCTTGATATTTAAATAAGGATGTGGTGCCTAAGAATGTGTGCATGTGTTTAAATGGATGCAGCATTATATGACTTCATGGCTATGCCTATCCTTAGTATTTTACATGTTTTGAGTAACAGATCCCTCATTCACATTTCTTCCAGTTAGTCTCTGACCTCTGTGTACTGTGTGGATAGAAGTCATCAAGACTGTTAACACAAATATGTTCTATGTTGTAACAATCTCTTGTGCTTCAGTTGCACAGGTTTCACAGTGCATCTTCAGATGCAGTCCTGTTTGAATGAATGCAGTTTTCACATTTTTTATTAATTGAATGATTAAGTAGCATTCTTAAATGGGTAAATTGTCTAACACAGCCACATAGTTTGTTCTTTATTTCTTCCTAGTGATACACATGTATGTTTGAATTGGCCCCATTCAGCCATTTGCATTAGTTACTTACCCTGCTTTTCACAGCGGTAAAAAGCACAGAAATTATTTTCTAAGTTCTTCTGAACAGTTGTAACCCACCCATCTGGAAGTCTGTATACTGAAAAACCTGTTATATTCCCAGTGCTGTTTGAGTAATGTTATGAAAATTGCTGTCTTCCATATGTTTTGAACCTCAACACCCACCTATTCCAGATAGAATAGCCAGTAGTCTGGAAATATGAAATTTGTAATACAACATTTATGTAAAATGCCAGGTGGCCTATCTCTGCCCTGGAGTGTTGCTTCAGTTCGGTACAGTATTTTGTTTCATGCAGAACAGAATTTGTGTGGCAATTCTTGCATAACCATTATCTTTCTCTCATTTTTCTCTTTCTCCCTTTTCTTCTGTTCTAACATTGTAGAGCTCCAAGCGAGAATGGAAGCCTCTGGAGGATCGCAGCTGCACAGATATCCCATGGCTGCTGCTCTTCATTCTGTTTTGCATTGGCATGGTAAGTAACACATTAACCATTTACAGCTTAAAACATTACTGGAAATAAAGGAATATGTATTGCTCTGCTTAAAGCCTGTTTTGACAGTGACTTTTGGTAACACTATAGTACTGAGGCAGCTTGCTTCCCTGCACATACCCTCCTTTAGTGTGTGCAGTACATGCTTGCTTTCCTGGCCTACCTAATCCATGTGCCTGATTCCGCTATAGTATACTCAGCTGACTGGGATGGTGACAATGATTGCCTCCTTCTCAGATAGGGAATGTGTTTTGCAGCCTCCAGATACCATGCACTATGGTTCTCTGAGGAGAACACTATGTTTATCACTGTATTGAGACTCTGAACAATACTCAAGGTGTCCTATGTATTTGAGGACAAACTGTGAGGCACAACAGTGTATGTGGTAACAGCCAATATCACAACGATGTTTTTGGTAACCAGATACACTGGCACTTACTTTCTGATGCTTCTCAGTCAAGCTGTGGACAGATGCATTCACTACTATACTGTACCTGTAACATATTACAAAATGGGCCTCCATTTAAGCATAGAATTCGTATATGTGGATGGCAGATGACTATTCAAATGACAATTGTCACAGGTACGTATCCACTCCCTCCTTTCTTCAAGGATGCAGCAGATACATTAGATGTGACTGGTAAAATGTCCTCCTGGGTTGTACTGCTACCTGAGAATGTAAGCACACAGCCAAGATACAAAATGCGATTCCACTTGTAGGCCTGTTTAGGAAGTTAATGGCAACACAGACTAATTGGTTTCTTGTATCTATGTTTCTTATGTATCTCGCTTTCAAATGTTAAGAAAATAGTTTTGATTTTATAGCTTGAATGCAGCTATGTTGTCACACTATACATGGTGCGACAGAGTTCTTTTTGGTTCATACAGGCTTTTCTGTTTTGAAGAAAGGCCCTTCGTTTCAGAGAATGGAGAAGAAAATTGGACAGTCATTTCTATTTTATATATTTCTGACAGAGACCTATCAGGAGGACACTGTGAAAAAAACCCTCTGTTTTTAATGCAGTTTGTTGCTGAAAGCTTTCGTTCTCATATCATTTCTCCCCAGGGTCTTATTTGTGGCTTTTCAATAGCTACTGGAGCAGCCTCAAGATTGGTTTCAGGATATGACAGTTACGGAAATATCTGTGGACAGAAGAATGTAAAAGTAGAAGGAATTGAAAACAGTGGCTTAGACCTCACAGGAAAGAAGTGAGTATATGATCCAAATGGTCCTGTTCTTCCAATAACTGATGGAATATAATACAAGATTTTGACTGTGGATTACAGGCTTAAGGAGAATAGTAGTAGATCTTTGTGCTGTTGAATGTTGATGCTACAGGTTAGCAACAAGTGAACATTCTCTCCTGATTGATTCCTGCATCTCACTACTTGTGAAAATATAATGAGTGTCTAAATTGTATTCCTTTGTGTTATAAAGTTTTGTTACTTTTTCATATGCTGGAATAAAAGTAGAGGGCTTGCTTGCTTTATTTGTTTATTTTATATTGAATGCTTAGTATTTCTTGTTGCTTGTACTGATTAGAGGATGATGCCACTTCTGTTGAGGAGAATGTTCTGTTAGGCTATATCTCTGCTACATACTTGAGTTAGTGTTATACAAGTTAAACTTTCAAGTGTCGAAGACCAGGGATTATTGCTCACAAAGGTGCTACAACTTTTTTCCTTTCTTACATGGTTATTTTAGTTTGGTGTTGTAGATACGCCCGTAGATGTTAAGGTTTTGCAGGCTCTTAGAAATGGTATCCCAGACACATGTGGCGCAAGGGCAGAGTTTATGCATCAAAGTAACCTCTAAAGGAGTTTTGAAAATCTGGAGCGTAACATGACCCAAAGAAGAAATGTTTAAGTATGACTTAACCCCTTCTTCTGAAAATATGAAGGACAGCTCATTGAAAACAGAATCCTAGAGAATATATAAAGAAACAGTGTAAATATTGTCCATATGGAGAACAGTAAACTGCAATAAAACATGCACAATGTTAGTTATATTTTCTCTTCGGTCATACAGCAGACTGTGCTTTTCAGGTGTAAAGTTAAAATTAACCCAAATGAAAGGAAGAAGAATATAGCAGCAAAACCACGAGCAAGGGATGCAAAAGCCAAAAGTTGCATATACAGTACAGTATATTGTAAATATGGGTTAAAGCTAAATGGGATTTTACCTGTTTTCATTAACATTTGGATTTGTACTTTTTATCATTGTTTTCTACAAAATGCAGGGAACCAGTCTCAGAACTTTGAAAAGTGAAATATTGATTCAGAAAACAAGCAAATTGGTTGGATTCTGTCTTGCTGTGGGCATCAGTTTTGCTACCTTAAGGGAAATTGACAATGAAACTGCTAAAATCTAATGGGAAGAAATATGATTTGCTCTTACAAGTTAGAATGAAACTCCTTTTTGACTTGAGTAAAACCTAAGTGCTGTTAAACTATGGGTACACTGATTTTTTCCTTATGTGCAGCTCCAAAATGAGACATTATGCCAACAGTGCAAAAAGGTTTTTTTAAAACCCTGTATTTACAAAAGAAATAAGGGCACTCTCTCCTTGTGTCTTTAGACTAATAAAATGTGTTCTTGTGGTCTTGAATGCTAACACTTTGGCAGTCTCCTAGCATTTCATTCTCACAAAAGGATATATGCAAGTATCAGCAGGCTTGCAGACAAGAGACAGTTGACATAGAGAAAAAAATTATTTGATTCCTGTTCAGAGGACCAAACTTGAAAAAATGAATAATAGTAATTTCTTAGGGTTTTCATTATTTATGCTATGGTATTTAAGCTTACACAAAGGGGATTTCCAAAATGCAAAACCTTTTGATCCATACGCAATAAAAACAGTGATGTGCTAACAATTCCTAGTAGACCCAGTGACTTCAGATTACTTTGTTCTTATCAAAATAATGGCTGCTGGTCAGCCTTAGGTTATGTTATTTCAAAGGTCATGTCAGAATCAAGCCAATGGTGCTTGTAATATGAGGAGACTAGAGTTAATGTGATACATTATCCAGTGTGGGTATTAGGGAAAATATAGAGCAGTATTGAAAACTGCTGGATAGCTCACTGATTTAGGCATCTGCCTGCAGAGCCAGTCGCTCAGAGTTCAGTTCCCTGCTGTGCATCCTTGAGAGTGGCTGGACTTACTTACTTACTTACTTACTTACTTACTTACTTACTTACTTATTTATTCGATTTATATACCGCCCATCTGGCAGCCAAGGCCACTCTGCGCGGTTGATGATCCATTGTGTCTCTTCCACTCCTACAGTTCTAAGATGATGATGATATTGTTTTGGACTTTGGACAGGAAGACATGGATTCAAATATGGTACTTAGTGAGGTCATTTTTTCATCATCTCATAGCCTAAACTGCCTCTCGGTTATTAGAAGCATTAAGTGGAAGATACTGAGCTTATTTGTAGAAATGATGGGATTCATGAATGAATGTTTGACTCTTCATATTTGTGTAGATTTGTTTATGTTAGTTATATTTGTATGGTGTCTGTCTGCCAAGGAGCTTACAATGACAAATTACCGGTAACCTTGCAGTTCTATAGGTGAGGTTGGGTGGAAAGACACTGACTTGCTCAAGTCCTTCTAGTGCACTTTCATTTTTGAAATGGGTTCTGGCTTTCTTAGGCATGCTTCTGTGTGATGCATAGTTTATGTACGTTTTCTAGTTCCATCTGTATTAAAGGTTCTAAGTTTACAAATGCAGATATATCTGATAGATAAACAAAGAACAGCATTGTGGCACTGCTAAGACTGTTTCAGTGTGTTATTTCATGAAGTGCAGTCCAGTCTATTTAGAAACATGGAATGTTTATGTACACAGAGCACAGAGCTGTGGAGATGGCTAGTCTGTGAAATAGGATACAGAAGATGACAATGATATTATTAACTCAAATAATGAACTTGCTGACCTTAGAGTGTGGATAACCTACATCCTGACAATAGATAGAATAATCGACTTGTGCATTGGCTGATAGACTGTTGCCTTTGAAGTGTAGATGCAGTGATTTTTTTTCTTTCAGGAAGCCATTGGTTGTGCTTAGGCCAGGTTTTGCCAAAGAACATAGCTTCGTGGATATTTATATATAAGACTAGAGAAAATCAGCTTATTTATTGAAATAGATGTGAGCTGTGTGGACAGTCCAAAATACAAATGCCAGAGTAGGCAATACCCTTATAGACCACTAAAAATAATTACACAAAGTGGTGCCTCGCTTAACGGGCACTCCGTTTAGCGAAGAAATCGCTTAGCAATGACTTTTTCGGGGCGTTTTTACGCTTCGTTTAGCGATGGTCCCTATGGGCAATTTTTGCTTAGCAATGGTTGTGACCATGCTTCGCATAGCGATTACATTTTGGGTCCCCTGTTTCGCTTAACAATGATTTAAACAGCCTCATGTTTCCTGTTTTTTAAATGTTTTTCTGTTATTTATAAAGTTTACTGTTTAAAATGTTTGAAATCATAAAGTGCACTTAATAAACCCTTTGTTAACCAAATTTGACTTTCTTCTGACTCTTTTTAAATTTGTTGTTGTATTCCCCCCCCCCATTGAGATGCATTGAATAGGTTTCAATGCATTTCAGTTGGGGAACTGCGTTTCGCTTAGCGATGTTTCCTATGGCGATTTTCGGTTAAGGACGGCAATTCGTTCCTATTGGAATGGATTATCCGGTTTTCAATGCATTTCAATGGGAAACCGCAATTCGCTTAGCGATGAAATCGCTTGGCAGTGATTTTTTCGGAACGAATTAGCATCGCTAAGCGAGGCACCACTGGTATATGAGCTTTCATGGATCAAGACCACATTGTCAGGCTTGTAGGTATTGCCTACTCTTGTATTTGTATTTTGTATTGACTAGACAACTCCCTTTTATTTCAATGGAATTATGAGGATACCAAGAAATAGGCCTCCCCTGTGCCAACAAGAAGACCTGTGGACTGTCAACATCAGAGAAGCAAGACTGCAGCCACTAGGTAATATTTTGGCTGTAATCTGACCCCAGTTGGCTAAACCTAGTGAGTTTATTAAATTATCACCCCAATTCCCAGATGGTTTATCGGGCCCCCCCCGGTCCAAGCAGAGAAATATCCATTTCGTATAAAAGCCAAATGGGAAGGTCCATGTGTGCATGACCTGTGCCTCTTTGTTTGAAGAACTGGAGTGTGATATCCAATTCACAGCTGCCTCAGCTGTAACTTTAAAATAGCAGCCTTAATGCAGCCAGCATATTTCCTAGTGAAATCCATCTTGCCAAGAACTTTTGGACTTCAGGTTCTTCACATTGCTACATGTTGCATAGTTCTATGCAGCATAGGCATACACGAAGACATACAGATATGCATTCACACACAGACATACATACATACATACATACATACATACATACATACATACACACAGAGAGAGAGAGAGAGAGAGAGAGAGAGAGAGAGCGCTCATGGTCCAGAGAGAGAGAGAGAGAGAGAGAGAGAGAGAGAGAGAGAGAGAGACCCTTGTCTCTGTCTAAGCTTCTGTATACCTACTCGCATTTATGGATATAACTCATGTCAGCTCTCTCTCTTTAAAATCTCTTTTTGTAATTTTTTTTTCTGTGATAGCCACTTTGAGATCAAAGTGACAGAGTGTCTTGAGAGGTTGAAACATTCTCATACTAGTAGGTACATAATGTTCTTATCTATAACGAAACCTCATATATATTTCCTTGAAAATGAAATCTGTATTTCCATCTTAAGGACTTAAATCATATACTGTACTGTATTTAAAAGCAGTTCCAGAATTTACTTACTTTAAGTATTTTTGCACTGTTTTACAGTTGATCTTCTCAAGGCAGTTCACGCAAAATAGTTAAAACATCAGTATGTTATGATGTTTGCTTCCTCTCACTAAGGCTCCTTAGGAGATAACTACAGTACCAGTTTTTAACTGGTGCCTTACTCTGTCACTAATATTCACTGTAGCCATCCCATAATGAAAATAGATGCTGAAGAAACCTGGCATCAGATAACAGCTGTTCCTCCCTGAACCCCAAGTTCTGCAAGTGGCAGAAAAGATGGGCTGGAGCGGTGGAATAGCAATAGTCCTGAGCCCAGCATAGTTGTGCTGTGTTCTCTTGCTAGTTCCTAAAGCCTTCTGATACAATGCAGGACTTTTTTTTTTTGAAAGAAACACTGTTGCTT